ATAATGCTAAATGATATCCAGTATAATTAGAGTTATACGTTTTGAGGTTGGTGACTTAATACTGAGCTGTGTGGGTACATAAGACAAAAATGGCTGGGAAACACTGCTTGTACATTATAAATCAACATGCATGTGTCAAAATTCTAATCATCGCTTTATTGTGAAAGATAAAGCATTGAATTCAAAGATTCTGAATGACTGTACCATGCTGTTTGTAGATAGGGGGTTTTCTGTAGATGTTTACTCCTTGATCTGAAAGAAAGGAAAAGTCAAATTAGTGCATTTTAGTTCTTAATATAACAGATATTGGGTTTTAAAAGGAGAAACTAAATCGATAACACATACAAAATGCACCAATAAACAATCAAATCTGAAAAACTGACAACTGCACCACATACACTTTGGATATGCTATTACCAAAGAAAGATCTGGTCATTTTCTGAAAGAAAATGTTAGGGGTGTTTGATCGTGCAGGCTTTTCATTTCTGTGTGAACTGTTGCTTTAAGACAGAGAGATAACCAGACACAGAAAGCGCTATGAATGGTGAACATGTGCTTAGACACAGGGGCATGCTGGGATTGACACACAGTGGGCCGCTGGAAGACTCCCAACAGTACCTGGCAGGTGAAAATGTTTAGGAGTCAGAGGGAGAGGAGGGGTGCTGGCCCCTGGGGAACTCCGACCACTGGACGGCTCAGTGCCTCCAATCACAAACACGGTCAAAGTCAATAGGGAGAATAATTCAGATTAGGGCTGGGCGAAATATATATATTGATATACGCCATGTTTACACACTATTTTAATAAATAAAAATATACAGTTGCACTTTATTTTAAGGTGTCCTTGTTACAGTGTGATTATACATTTAAATACTGAGTAATATTAATTAATTACATGTATTCACTATATGGTTAGGGTTAGGATTAGGGTTACTTGCATGTAATTATGCATAATTTATTGTTGTTATAATAGTAAGTACATGTAACTTGTGTAACAAGGACACCTTAAAGTGTTACCAAATATACACAAACTAACTAAAGGGATTAATGTAAAAAAAAAAACTTAATTTTAACCAAAATCGAAAAGACAGAAGTTAGAATTTAGAAAAATTAGAATGAGAAAAAACTAAATTAAGCCATGTTTAC